AAGACCAAGAAAGAGCAAGACCTATATAAAAAGAAATGTAACTTTTGTATTTGTAAGTTCTGTCAAATCCCCTCAGGATTTAACCTGAAACCCTGTACCTCAGATTGTAGAACCTTTGTCAGTATCAGCCATGTGGCTGAGTCATGGCCATTGCTTGACCACTTTGTTCTCTGTGAAAGCCTGAGAGAATGTTTTGTCTCCAGGTGACACTCTACATCATTGATCACTTTCCTCTGCGGCCCCATAATCTTCTTGATCAGAAAGTTTGGGACACAACTGAGTTACAGGATGTTACAGTACAGGTTCTCCTATTTCCTGAGTCCTTACTGACCTAGAAAGGCTAGTGGCCCCAGTAATTTTAAAAAACTTTTCATAGGGAAAGGCCCAGGACCAGATGGTTTAATTCTGCCAGACATTTAAACAGTGATTACTATCACAAATTCTTCCAAAAAAAAAAAAAGTTTTTCACAGACCCTTCCAAAAATTAGAATATTTCCCAACTCAGTTTATGAGTCCACTATTAATACTGTGATATCTGGCTGGGAAGATAGCTCAGTAGAATAAGTGCTTGCCTGGCAAGCATAAGGTCCTGAGTTCAAGCCCCTGTTCTGGGGAAAAAAAAAATACTGCAATATCCAAACAGAGACAGCACAGGAAAACAGACCCATATCTACAAAGAATATAGTCGAAAAGTCTCCCATAATATACTAGCCAATCCTATAAAAAGGATTATATGTTGTCTTAGTTATTTTTCTTGCATTGCTGAGACAAAATACCTGATGCCCAGAATTAAGGGAGGAAAGGTATATTTAGCTCACAGTTTGCAGAGGCTTCAGTCCACACTCATCTGGCTCCGAGGCAGGGTGGCAGGTATTAGAGGGGCATCAGTTCATGGGGGTGGAAGACAGCAAAAGCAGCAAGCAAAAAGGAGTACAGCAGCCAGGGAGATAGCTCAGTGATATAAATGCCTGCCCAGCAAGCCCAAGGTCCTGAGTTCCATCCCCGTTAAAAAAAAAAAAAAAAAAAAAAAGGGGGGGGGTGGATGGGAAGGGGCTGGGGAGATGGCTCAGTAGGATAAGCACTTGACTGGCAAACGCAAGGATCTGAGTTCAATCCCCAGTTCCAAAAAAAAAAAAAAAAAAAAGTCAAGCAAGCCTCTTTTCTCCCTATATATTGTAAGCGGGGCTACCCGCCCTAGGGTGCATCCTCTACATTCTGGGATGTAGAACTGCCAAGTCCTTTTCTTTTTTGCCGAGTCATTTAATTAAGCTTCTAAACTTCTCAAATTGACACAATGTGTTAACCATTACACACATAGCCAAGTAGGATTTATTTCTAAGATTATACCGCCCCACTCAATAAATTCGATCAGGCAACAACCCACTCGGGCCCCCCTCCTGTCTGTCTCTCAGACAGGAGCTTTCTTTCCCTCAATAAATATATTCTGCTGAAAAAAATAAATAAATTCAATCAATATAATGCACCATTTTAATAGAAAAAAGATGTAAACCTGTATATTAATATTCACCGAAATTATTTGACAATACACTCTTTAAGAAAACAAATTAGGAAGAGAATGAGAACTTCCTCATAAAGGGATAAAGGAGTTGACAAAGAACATCTTGGGGAAAACCCATAAGCACATCTTATATGTTTGTTTATTTTACATCTTCCCAATCCTGAGGGACATGGGCTTCTTTTTTTGCAGGAGAGGTATAAGCACAATCAGGCTGGCCGTGAACTCTCTATAGCATACATAGGCTGGCCTCAAACTCTCAGTGACTCTTCTACCTCAGTTTCCCAAGTGCTGGGATTACAGGGCATGCCACCATGTCCAGCTACATCATATTTAATAGTTAAAGATTGTAAGCTAGGGGCTGGGGAGATAGCTCAGCGACAAAAAGCACCTGCGTGGCAAATGCAAGGACCCAGGTACGATGTCCCATACCTCACGCAGTGCTGGTCCCAGACTCCAGATGTGCCATCCGGCCCCCTAAACCAGGTGTGGTGGTGCACGGGGGAGGCTGTGGCAGGAGAATCACTATGAGTCTGAACTGTGTAGCAAGACCCTGTATCAAACAAGTTTAAAAATTTTTTAAAGATTAAATTAAGAAAGATTGAAAGGTTTTTCCTTAATACCAGGGAGAAAACAAAAATACTTCATTCAAAAAGGGTCTAGAAGACTGGCTACGGTGGCACATGCCTGTAATCCCAGCGCTTGGGAGGCTGAAAACAGGAGGATCACCATGAGTCCGATCTGTGTAGAGAGACCCTGTAGACCCTGTATTAAGTACATTTTTAAAAAGGGTCTAGAAACAGCTGTTAAAGAAAAGGAGGGAAGAAAGGATGGCCACTTTGGAAAGGAAGAAGTATACCGATCACCTTACAGATGATATCATATACAGAAAATCCTAAGGAATCGACAAAGACAAGTAGATCGAGCAAATGAGTTCTGTAAGGTCATGAGATACAAGATCAGTATAGAAAACTCAGTTGCATTTCTGTATAGTATAAATGAGCAACTTGAAAATGAAATCAAGAAAATTTCATTTATATCAGCACCAAAAACAAATACGGAGGGATACAAAAAAAAAAAATTCATTTGTACACTCCAGACTACAAGAGTCTTTGAAAAAAAATTTTTAAACACCTAAATGTGATATATCTTTTTCATACCCTATCAAAAATTACTTCAAGATTTCGCTCAGGCCCTCACACTAGCAGGAGGGGCAAGTGTGTCGTGGCCTCTGCACTACCAGGGAGCTCTGCAGTCACCGCGGGACCAGAAGTGGCACAACAAGCAGTACAAGAGGGTCCATCTGGGTACAGTCCTGAAGGCCAACCCCTTGGGGGGTGCTTCCCATGCAAAGGGGATCGTGCCGGAAAAATTAGGAGTTGAGGCCAAGCAGCCCAATTCTGCCATCAGGAAGTGCGTCCGAGTCCAGCTGATCAAGAATGGCAAGAACATCCCAGCTTTTGTCCTTAACGATGGGTGCTTGAACTTCAATGAGGAAAACGAAGAAGTGCTGGTTGCTGGATTTGGTCAAAAAGGTCATGTCATTGCTGACATTCCTGGAGTCCACTTTAAGGTTGTTAAAGTAGCCAATATTTCTCTTTTGGCTCTCTACAAAGGCAAGAAGCAAAGACTGAGATCAGAAATTTTGATGATGAAAAGACAGTAATAATTTTTCAGGGCTGGGGAGATAGCTTACTAGAATAAGCACTTGCTTTGCAAGTGCAAGGGCCTGAGTTCAATCCCTGGTTCCGCCAAAAGAAAAAAAAAATATTTCTCTTAATTCAATGAGAAGAAAGATTTGTACTGTCAGCCTCTGGTTGATGGAGTTCGAACCTCACAACTCTCCCGCTGGCCAAAAGTGCCCTGAAGGCATTCGAGGAACAAAAAAAAAAAAAAACATTATTCCATTTTGCACCTACTTAGAACAAGCTTAACAAAGCACAGGGACTGCGGTTCAATTCCCCAGCACCACATGCCAGCCAGCCCCGCCCCCTGGTGGGCTGAGCTGGCCACACACACACACAAATAAATAAATAAATAAATAAATAAATAAATAAATAGAAAGATTTGTACTAATAGTGTTTGGACAGGATATCATGTCTGCATCTTGTACTATGAATAACCACTACAAAGACAACAATATGCAATGTATTAATTAGTGAAACTGTCCTATTAATCGGTTTTGAAACTGTCTCATTGCTATTTGTTTCTCAATAAAATTAATAACAAAACAAATCAATTTTCATATTGCAGAAAAAAATTAATTCAAAATGGATCAAAGACATAAGCATAAAAATTGAAGCTACAACGCTTAGAAGAAAGCACATGTGCAAATCTTCATGACCTTGATTAGACACTGATTTCTTAGATGTAATACCAAAAGCATTAGCAACAATAACAACAAGTAAACTGTACTTAATTAAAAGTTTTTACTTCAAGGGCCAGTGAGATAGCTAAGTGGACTAACTGCCTGCTTAGGCAAGCACAGAGGCTGGGGTTCAATCCCTGGCACCACATGCCACACTGGCCCTGCTCCGGGGTGTGCTGAGCCAGTGACTGAGACCGGCTGTGCTTGTGTGCAAGTGCTGGGGAGGCTTAAAACAGTAGGATCACTGGAATCCGAGCTGCGTAGTGAGACCCGCATGCACACACACACACACACACACACACAAATTTGCTTCAAAAACATCTTCAAGGGTATACAACTATCACACTCGACTGTAATCCCAGCACTCAGGAGGTTGAGAGAAGTAGAGGGATCACCACGAGTTCTAGGCCAGCCTGGGCTACATGGTGAGTTCAAGGCTACCCTAAATTATACAGACAGACCCCGTCTCAAAGAAAAAAAAAGAAAGAAAAGAAAAGAAAGAAAGAAAGAAAGAAAGAAAAGAAAAGGGAACAAAGAAAGCAAGAAAGCAAGAAAGAAAGGGACATAGGAATGAAAATTATCAGCTCAAGTAGGAAAAGATAAGTTGATGTAAGGAGGAATTCCCAAGGGGGCAAGAAGACACTTTGGGGAGTGGTGGATTCGCTCACTGTATTAATTTTGGTGATGATTTCATGGTTGTATACACAGAAATGTACACACAAGTATACAAGCAAGTCAAAACTTACCAGCACATATGTGTTGGGGTAATGTGTCAGTGCTACAATACTGTTGTTAAATACACACGCTAGAGTCGAAAAATAGCAGCAAGCACTCTGTTTGATCGACATTCTGGGAAGATAAATACTTCACAGGCTCCCTAGGTTTTAGCCTAAATGCATGTGGACGTCCCTCCCTAACTTTCCCTCGGAGGAGGAATGTGGGTGGGGGATGGAACCGAGAAGCAGGGTCCGGTTCCCTCTGCTCTAGCTCTGCACGGCTTTAACCGGCCCGTTCGTGCTATAGCTTTGGTTCCAAGCCGACCCCATAAAAGCGGAGGACTAAGGTCGGGCGGAACTCCAGAGACATTTCCCAGAAGGCCCCGCGGCCCCGCCCATTTCTCTCTAGCGTGGATCCGCTGCGGGAGACCCAGGTGCGGCCGCCTCATGGAGCCCAGCGGCCGGTGGCGGAACCTGCCCAGCGGACCTAGCCTAAAGCATCTGACCGACCCGTCGTACAGAATCCCGCGGGAGCGGCAGAAGGAGGCGTTGCAGGAGCTGACGCGGGCGCACGTGGACTCCTTCAACTACGCCGTGTGCGAGGGGCTCAGCCAGGCGGTGCAGGTGATCGCGGCGTCGCCCGGCCCCTGCTGCGCTGGGTTGTCCCCCCCGCCGGCTTAGGCGAGGAATCCGCAGGGGTGGATGGGAGAGAGAAGCTGGGAAGGGGCGTGTGGGTGCAGCTCCGCGGGGGGGCGGGGACCGGGCCGCGTGGGGCAGGCGTGTGGGGGAGAAGGTGGGGGAGCCGCAGGGTACCCCCAGCTGCTGGGGCCCGGCGCTGGAGCTCGGCTCTGGGTACGAGGGAGGAAGACAGCAAGTGCAGAACAGACGCGGGCGTAGGTCTCCTCCGGCTTGCGGCCGAGTCGACCAGGAGAGCTGGATTTGATTTCAGGACTTGCTGTGTATGTGATCGTGAGCCGGGGTTTGTCGTAGGACCGTTTCGGGGCGCTGGGAGAGCGAGCAGAAGTGGTCCATCGGGGCCGTGCTCCGCAGACACTCGCGTTGCACAGCCTTTGTGTCACTTGAAGTCCAGTCTTCTCCAAACCACTCGGAAGGTTCTGAGCTGACCCGTGGACAGATTGGAAGGTGCAAGATCGTGCTTTCATTGCCCTTTCTTAGAGTAGTAAGGAGAGAAATTAGTAGGCTGGCGTAGAGGAAGACACGCGTGAGGCACTAATGATCGCTGTAGATAATGTAGCAGAGTTCAGGTGAGGATAGTGGGTGCTCTCCAGGGTCCCCAGGCGTTGGATTTTGCGGGTAAGAAGCAGTGCCCGTGAGAGGGTTCCTGAGAGCCCCCCTTTGTGTTTGGAGGGCAAGGGGGACGGAGACCTGAAACTCAGTGCCAGTGCTTTTGAGATTGGCTCTGCCTAGAGGTGGCTGTGGGGTAGGTTCCAAGGGAGACTGTAGAGGGGCAGGTAACCCGGGTGTTTCAGAAAAGACCGCGCTGGATGAGTTCGAGGGAAGAAGAGATGACATTCCTTCCAGGGAATCAGCAGCAGCAGCAGCAGCAGACAGAGCCACATACGAAGGGGCCACCACCCCGTGGTGGTGTTGGGTAAGAATTGTGGCGTGAGAGGCAGGAATAGAGACAATGTGGAAACCTTTTGTTACCAGTCTGATACTTGGAAATACTATGGGAGCCATTAAGACTCTTTGGAGATTAACGGTTTTCTAACCATTTTGAGGGAGAAAAGATGCCTGTGAGAAAAATTGCTATCTAATTAAAAGTGAATCCATTGCCTGGCAAGCGCAGGGTCCCGAGTTCAATCCCCGGTACCGGGGGGAAAAAAAAAATGAATCCATGCTTAGCTTTATTGAAATAATGAGTCAAGGATTAAGATAATTAAGGAAAGGGGCTGGGGAGATGGCTCAGTGGAAAAAGCGCTTCCCTGGCAAGTGCAAGGGCCTGAGTTCAATCCCTGGTTCCGAAAAAAAAAAAAAAAAGATAATTAGGGAAGACTTGCTTAAATAAGAGGTACGTGCAAGAAAAGGGTGGGCGGGGAGATGGCTCAGTAGAATAAGCGCTTCCCTGGCAAGTGCAAGGGTCTGAGTTCAATCCCTGGTTCCACGAGAGAGAGAGAAACAAAGAAAGAGAGGTGCATAGAGTTAGTAGTAATGTGCAGATTGACAGTTCCTCCGTTTCTTTTTGTCTGAGGACTGCTTGTTTAAAATTCTTGGGGGACCTCTAAAGAGCATCTATGTATCAGTGTTTGTCTATTAAGATTAAAATGGAGAAATTTTAAAAGTTTTAAAATTCATTTAAGAATAAACCAGTTATATATTAACATTTTACTGTATGAAAACGTCTTAAGCAAAAAAAAAAAAAAAAAGGTGGGTTTCATTTTTGATGCCAGACTTAGTCTCTTATCCACAGCTGTTCGTAGTTAGTATGTAGGCAATCTCTGGAGGCTTCCTCAGACTAACACAGCTGCTTCCAGGGGGTGGTGCAGAATAGTAGCGGCTGTGAAAGGGAAGACTCCCCTTGGCCCCCACCTTTCCCTTTGCATAGCTCTGACCGCGGTAAGAGGCCAGCATGCAATGAAATGTGAAAGTGTCACCCTAAAGAACGGTATTGCAAGTGTGTGTCCCCAAGTCAGAAGGACAGGATGTGTCCCCAACCTTGGCCTGTCAGCAGCATTGCCCTCCACTCTTCTGTGCACAGAGGAGACCCAGATAGGAGAAGGCAGGCATTTGGTTCAGAGGAAGGGTATCTTTATAGTGAACCCCTAGCACCTCGTATAGAGTCAGATACATATGCACCATCAGAAAACTCCTTACTTAATGTGTCATAGTTTTTAAGTAATTAGTGATAGGTTCTGGCCCTAGTATGGATTGTTGAATCATCATGGTGGTCATCTAATATGGCTGAAGCCCTTAACACAACAGCCCATCTTCCCAGAGACCACCTCCCTTCTTCTCCAGCTCAGCCCAGGGTGCAGTTTCCTTTCACCCTTCCCACCTCAGGGAAGGCCCCAGTCAGCTCCTCAGGTGTATCTAAACCCCCCCCCCCCAACCTCCACCCCTGGAAAAGGCCATAAAAACCTCGGCCTCCCTTTGTTCCAATCAAGAGAATTCCTCATTCCCTCCCCCCATTATCTCCATGTCCTCAAGGAAAATAAAGCCCCTTTCCCTTTCGCCTTCTGCCTGTTTCTGTGCTGTGCCAGGTGCCTAAAACAAACCTAGCGATTAGCAAGGTTGTGGGTGGACTGCGCATACACTTTACTGTCCTTTTAAGGAGTGTCCTTTGGCATTATTGGTATCATTGTGTTGCTTGCTAAACATAAGGGATTTGCAACAAATTTCTTAGAGAAAACATGCCTTGAAAAATGGAAGCCATTTATTTAATAGTATGAATTGTGTTTCAGGCTATTCCCTCCTTTGAGTTTGCTTTCCAAGATGAGCGGATCTCTCTTACCATTGTGGATGCTGTCATCAGTCCCCCCACCGTTCCCAAAGGGACCATCTGCAAAGAGCTCAGTGTTTATCCGGCCGAATGCCGAGGCCGGAAGAGTACCTACCGGGGGAGGCTGACGGTGAGTATTAGTGGCATCGTGTGGCTCTTCGCATGTTTCTGCCAAAGAAGTTTTATGCCGGACTTTTGCTTTCTCAGTGCTGTTGTCTTCTGAATCTGCAACATGAGATTTAATTATAATTTTCTCTTTTTCTCACTGAGAGCTTTCCTTTGTCTTCACAGATTCAGGTATTTATTTTTTTCTCCTATTTCACGTAGGTTGATATCAGCTGGTCAGTGAATGGAATTTCAAAAGGAATCATTAAGCAGTTTCTTGGCCACGTTCCCATCATGGTGAAGTCCAGGCTTTGCAACTTGTACAACCTTCCTCCAAAAGCACTCATTGAGCACCACGAGGAGGCTGAGGTGACCGCCGGGGCTGGGCTGTGTGACGCTAGTGAAGGCCTGTCTTGGGAATGTATAGACAGGACCTTCTCCAGGGGAGCACGTTTTCTGTCTCTGCTCCAGGCTCCAATTTCTAGATAAGTGGGGCATTAACGTCCTGTCTGAACGCTGTGGAAGGCTCTAGGTGACTGTGAGCTACATCAGTATGAAAAGGCCCTATGGTTAGTGAATATTCTTGTTCGGAGGAAGAACTAGGAGGTTTGCCCCTACTTTTCTGAACTGTTTTTAAAAGCTGTCTTAACCTGCAAAGTAGTGTTTATAGGGATGCCTGCTTGAACTACAGTAAGGGTGTGCCCGCATGCTTGGTGACTGATACACTGTCCTCATCATTTCTTTTAACTGTCTCGGGTGGCCCAGCTGTGTGGAGTTGAAGTAATCCCAACATCTGCTCTGCCTGTAGTAAGGGCACTGCGTTGTATGCTGGGAAGGAGGAGAAAAAGAAGCCTTGTGGGCTCGGGGAGATCGCTTAGTGGCATAAGCACTTACCTGGCAAGTGCGGGGTCCTGAGTTTGACCCCCAGTACGAAAAAATATGGTGGAAAGAGGGTTTCTGATGTCAGCTCTTGGTCTGCTGTCCAGCTTGTCCACTTGCCAATTTTGTTGCTTTGGAAAGTTTAATCTCCTGAGCCTCAGTTTCCTCTACTGAAAATGGATATAATAGCTTCCTATTCATTATTGTGAGGGTTAACTATTAATTAAAGCAGCTAGCATGTGTTTGTTTAGTGGTAGCTTTTTATTGCAGAAGTATGTATTTTTTTCTTTTGGAGACAGGGTCTCACTGTGCAGTTCAGGCTGGCCTGGAGTTCACTTTTTAGCTCAAGCAGGTCTCGAACTCACAGTGTTCCTCCTGCCCAGCCTTCTGAGTGCTGGGATTACAGGTGTGCACCACCATGCCTGGTAGAATTGATATTGACCGGAGCTATTGAAAGTCTTTTCTTGAAAATATTTTCAAGAACATAGCTAACCATGTTTCTAGTTTCCAGTTTTCATACAACCAGCTTTGTTTTACGTATTTGGTAAACCATATGGAAGCAAAATGGTCCCATTCTTCTCTTTAGACATCTCTTTGGAGTTGTGTTTTTGGTTTTTTTTTTATTATTATTATTTGAAGATTGCAGTCATTTTAGGAGAACAGAAAGACCAGTTAGGTTGTACCTGTCTGGTAGAGGCCGGTGCCCCGTTTTCTTTTCGTG